AGGTGGAGGCATAAGTGTAATTTCTTAATCTGAAGTGCAGCCGCTAATTTACATAAAGGTCCCCTCTAGAGCACTCGTGATCTATTTTTGGATAATGAGATACCGGGTCATGAAATTACCAACGGCCATGGGCAAGTTGAAAGAAAAAAAAAAAACATCTTATGACCAATGAAATTACTTCATGACCAGCACAAGGTCACTTCGATTTGATTTGGGCCTACATAAAAATGAAGACCCCCGACAGCAGCAGCCTTAGCACTCTCCGTCTTTCATCTCCTCCTCTCTTTCCTTACCTCCTCCACGCTCCCTCGTTCCCCAAGCTCCTGTCTTCTCTACCATACTGCCACTCAGCCTTCAGGACGTTATAGAAATATTGTTGTACTTGAAAGGACGGCAAGAAAGATCCACAGAGAGCATGCTCATGTAATGAGCCTGGTCCAAGGGTACGGATGTGATGATGTGTTGCGGAAACTATTGGTTATCTAATCCATTTGTATTGTGTGTGGACCATGTGGGTGAGTGTTATAGCATTATATTATTATAGTAATCTTATAATATTTATGCATCCTTTGTGCTTTGTTGATGCCCTACAAGGCCTTTACTCATCTTCCTAAAAAAATGAGAAAGCCGCCAAATAATTTCTTCTTGGTCTTTTGTCCAGGATTTATAAACCTCAGTTGTTAGTGTACATTAAAAGAGGGCCTTGCTCCCACTGAAGCCTATTAACCTGGACACAAAGAATGCAGTAGTTCAGGGCTATACGATATACATAGCAAAATGTCCATAAAAGTAGTTTTTAGGTTAAGGTTGTTTGCATCTTTTTATATTTTTAAAAGAAAACAAAAAGCAATATTACTAGTAAAAGTACACAAAATCAATGTTCTAAATAGCCAAATAGCCAACAAATCAACATCAATAATAGCTAAAGCAAACTTTTTAAACTAATTTATGTGAGATTGTACTATGAATATGCATGTCCTTTCCCACTGAATGAAAAAGTTCCATTTTGTCAACAACATTGAAGTTCTGTCCCCTACATTCAGAACACACATAAAGGTTCATCCTTGAGCTTTGGTGAGCACAATTATTTTGGTTCCATGTGTTTTGAATTATGCTGACTGCTACAAATAATTTTTCAGTCACCACATTTGAATAAAAATTAAAGATTGAACCACTTCAAAGTCAAATGTGTTTTGGGTCCCACGAAGTAGCAATTTTCAGTCCCAAAGGTTAAGCGACTCCATGAATGTTGTACAAGACAGTTCTCTGAGAGACGGGTTTGAGCACATGCTATCACTTCAATGTTCCCTGATAAAAACACAAGGGACAACTCACTTTCTCTCAACTCCACTCTCAATTTCCTCTCATCAAGAAGAGGCAATAAGGACACATGGCAGCAGTGACCCCTCGAGCTTTGTATCTTGTTTTATATTGCAGCTCTTCAATGTTCTCCTCCAGTGCTTGGGCGTTAATGAAAACACTCTTTGTCACAACTATGGACCATGAAGAGGTAAGAAAATAACGCTCTGCAATGTTGGAAGGCTTTCTTTGTTTCACATCTTGAGACATTTGCTTTAGTAGTTTACCAGTGTTCCAGCCAAATACTGTGAGTCGATAGCACTTAAGCTTCACATCAAGAAGGTCTTGGGTTTGACTCCAGAATTCATGAGACCATGTGTGGAGTTTTTTCTTCTTGTGTCATGGTGGGTTTTGTTCGGGCCCTTCAGTTCTTCCCACCCGAATCTGCACAATAGGTAGAATGCTCCATTTAAAGTATTCCTTGGCAGTGGCGGCATAGTGTATATCTGCATAAACATATTTTTATCATGTTAATTTACTCATATCACTTTATTTGGTTCATGTCTTTGCCCATTGAGATCACTGGGCCGGAGCAAATTCAATGGAGTTCTATAGAAGAGCCTCAAGTTTTGAGAAAATTTGGCATCAGTACGTTGCTTCTGCACATTGCTTTACATTGCAGCCCTGAAGTATGTCTTGGGGGTGCAGGTTGGGAGCAAACTCAAATCAAGTGATTGGTCTTCATAAACGTTTATCACACACTTGACCTACTGTGATTTAATGTGCTAGCTCTCTCTTGCCCACCCCCAGCTCTCCACTGCCCTATATATATATATATATATATATATATATATATATTCTAGCCAAATTAAAGCTACCATCTGTAAGTTTATTTTATTGTTTGTTACAACAAAGCAGATGCCCCCCCCCCCCCCCCCCCCTTCCCACACCAGGCCTTTGTTCAGCCTCACCTGTGCCCTCTGGTCTTCTTCTGTCAGGTCAAGCAGTCACACTATCAGACAGAAGTAATGTAGATAGCATCTAGTAGTGGGGTGAGAATACATCCGGAGTGGCTCTGTCAATCTAATTACAAAGGGTAGCTGTCATGCTATGGGACATTCCAAACAGAGCGTTGACATATCCATGAAAACAAAAAGGTGACAGATCCCCAACCAAAAGTTGCACAGTGCACATTTAAGACCAGTTAAATTTAGTTATCCCAAATTTAGTTATGAAAATTAGCAGGCACCAGAATAGTCTACCACATAATAATCCAAAAATAAAAGGACACAAGCACCACTTTCAAATGACATTGGCCTAAGCGAGTTTTTGTTTCGTTCAAGTAGCTCACCTCTATTTCAGACTAGCCTCTCCTCCGCTAACGATATTTGTAGTGCGTAATATGACTCAAGACTTTATTATGGATTTGAGGAGACACTCAAATGTTCTAGGAGGACTTGCTCATGTAATCCTGTGCAGAGGTAAAACTAGTGCATCCAAGGACAAGGAAATCATGTAAGGATTTAATGTCACCAAAAAAAAAAAAAAAAAAAAAAGAGATGTAGAGAGTTGTCCAAATTGAGCTAAGTATGATTACTGAGGTGAGAGAGATGTGTTGACTCTAAGTTAATATTGAAATGGATTTATAGAAAATCACACTATTGGGTATAATGAAAAAGATGCAGAAAAGTTGTTGTAGTAATAATCTTCCAAACAAGGGTATAAGGTGATATTTTTCTTTATTTTTGTGTTTTGTATTTCACCCTATTCACTTATTGTGCAATACTTGAACCTCTCAAGACAAGCACACTTATGCACATTTCTAAATGGATTTGCTAAAATATAAATTGAGATTTTGTTGATGTTTTTGGTCAATAAAACCCACCCCTTATTTGTTTGTTGTCGCATTGCTCAAATTTAGTTATGTTTACATAACAGTTATTAAGCAGCTGAGCATCTGTAGGCAAGGCTCATGTTTATGTGAGTAGACATGATGCAGATGGAGTGAGTTGTAATCTTGGAAAAATTGCTTTGGGACTTGAACTGGCAAACTGAGCAAGAGTGCATTTTAATGCTGTTTCCCAGGAGAGCAGTGCCATCCACGCTGTCTCCATTCATATCCTTCTAGCCTGTCAGTCAGAGGACAAAACACAGCCACAGAAAATAGTTCACATTTTCATTTTTACCAGAGCAAAACCCATTGATCTGTGCGCCATGACCTCTATAAAGAACCATTCACACGTTTGAGAAACGTTTATGGACTTTTATATAATTGTTTTGGCTTCAGTGATGTGTGGGATGGTTTGAATGGTTGGACTAGCATTGTGCTGTTAAGATGACAGTGCATAAGGTCAGACTAATTCTTGTTCCAGTTCAAAAATGTCTTGTTCTCAAAGCAAAGTTTGGCCTCACCTCAAAATGGTTCAAGTGGCTTCAACAGACTTTGGTTTTTATGAATGTAACTGTGGAAAATGAATGCACTAAAATGGTCTATAGAATCAGATAATAACAATGTTTTATTTTCATTCATGAATAATCTTATTTGTTCAGGGCTTCTTCCTGAAAACTGAAATTGTCAACATTAGAGTGATTTGCTTTGGGTCAACATAACATATTTCAGAGGAAAAAGATAACATAAATACAATGAATTTTTCAGTTGCTCTGAAATGACACAAAGAATAAGGCCATTCCCATGAAAAGCCTCACTCTGCTATCAGTGAAATGTGGTTACGTCTGTGTTTTAACTCTGCAGTATTATACAATGCAGTTCATTAAAACTGCATTAAAACATTTTCTACACATTACACTTACAAAGTGTTGAAAGCCTACTATCCTCCCCTTGTGTCTATGCTAAACCATGGGCTGAGGTAACTATATTTCACTTTAAGATAAATGGGGGAATTACTTTGTGTGTTTCAAAATTGGAGAGGAAACATTTTCACGTGTGCATTCTGTAGGTATAAAATGAGAGAATTAAGTTTTGGATCCATGATAAATTTGTCAAATTAAACTCCTGAACCTTTGACTGAGGTGTTCTGCTGTGATAATGCTAGACAGACACTAGCAATGGCAAATATGTGCACAGGATGTCCCCAACAGCACTCCTGTTTCTAGGCCAAAAGCTCTGCTCCTGATGTTTAAATTTCACTGTCAATATTGCCTTGTTATTAAGTTGAGTTGTGTCTGGAGATTTCTTAAGAATCTTGTTCCTGGTCTCATCTCTTAGATGTGAGTATTTGCTGAACAGACATTCTTAAAGTGATGATAGTATAAAACATCTGAGAAGGTTTCAGTTTTACATCTAACTACATTTATTTTATTATATTTTAATTAAAGTTGGGACATTATTTAAGTATTATTATATTTTAAGTTGCACATTTCCATTTCACCATCATTTTAAACAATGTCTCAACTTTTTAAACTTGATTTCTAGATTAAAAAAAAATTATAATTTGCTGAGTTTCAGACATGCTTTACTATAAATAAATCATACCCATACTTAAGCAGTGGCGTTTAATACAAAGTCATCACAAAGAGGAACTCCAGGGTGCTTTGTGCTGACTAAGTTTGTTGTTGCATACTGTGTTAAAATGTCTATTACTTTTCTCTCCCCTCAGGTGCACTGAGCTTTGAATTAACAAGTCATACCAGTGTAAATATTTGCCATAAAAATCAAATTAAACTAAATAGTGTGGCCTTACCTGCCTGATGGCGCACAAGAGCTTCCCATAGCAGAACACAATGACCAGAAATGGCACGATAAGGCAAAAGATGAACAGGCAGATGATGTAGGACATGCTGTTGGCCGTCTTAGCCGTCCAGTCCACGGAGCAGGTGGTCCCAGGACCCTCTGGCCCATAGTTGCTCCAGCCGAAGAGCGGGGGCAGGGTCCAGACCAGGGAGTAGAGCCAGGTGAGTGCAATGCCCAATGAGATCTTCCTGTAGTTGGATGGGTCTGCCTCTGTAGGGGCCATCATAGTGCTGTAGCGCTCATAGGACAGGACAGCCAGGGAGATGAGGGACACGATGCCTAAGACAGAGTAGACCATGAACACTGTTAATACAAGCTGAAGTGCTATTTAAACACAGCTATTGATTTTTGCTTTTGCAGGTGGCAGGACCAATTCATAGGCTTCATTCACATGAATTTCTATAGGCACCATTTTGCGGGCTTTTTACCATTCAAAAGACTGAGTATTTTGTTTGAATAGATAATTGCTATGGCAGCGTTTTTATCTTTCTGAAACCCATGTATACCAGGATAAGCACAAGCAGGGCATAAGCAGTCAGTTGTAAAATTGACTGTAAAACTAGTTGTAAAACAGTTGTAAAACTGGTGATATAAACGATCACAGTGGGGATTGAACCATGAACCTAGTTAGTGCAAAGATGTCCCCACTCCCCAATTTAACAAGCACACACTTTATTCATTTAAAGGGGATTTATAAGTATTTTTATTGAGGCTTTTGGAGGCTGCAGTAAGCCAGAATACCCAACAGAAACAAGCCGTTTAATTGGTGGGTTTGAAATGCATAAAAAGAAGGAAAATAATGTTATTAATAGCAGGATAAATTCCTCTGAAATGTTAATGTTTATGGGAAAAATTTGACTACATGAAATTGGACAAAACAAAGATGGCTCTAAAATGGTTATAAAAATAAAAAGTTATTATATTGTCTAGTAAATAATGGCCTTCAAATGACTTCCCTTAAAATTTTGGCTTGTGTTATTGTCTTGTGAGACTGGCTGAACATTGCTGTTCCCACACTGGGAGCATTTGTAATGAGCCAAGCAGGTTTATTGTTTTTGAAGAGTCACCCTTTACTTAGCAGATACTGCACTCCTGCTGGTAAATCACTCTTGACAACAGTTTGATTGCCTTAACCCAATCAACTTTAAAGAGACCACAAGGAGAAAAATTGAAAAATGGAATTACAGGCAGAGTTGTTTTGGAGTTAAGCCAAAGCCTTCCCCAGGAGTATTTAAAGTTTGTGTGTAACAGAGAAATGGCTGGGCAGGAGGCAGAGGTGGAGAGGTGCACCTGTTCATACAGTTTCCTAACACAGTTTGTGCCTGGGCTGAGCAGTCAGCCTCTGTTCTAATACTGCTAATGCTGTGAGACTGCACTGTGTCTGCAGAGACCACACTCCATCAGGAAAAATTATGCCTTCTGTACAAGGTTTGGACGGAACATATTCAATGAACTTCTGTTTACATTCACCACACTTACCACACTAAAAAATTTGCTTTACTTTAAAAAGAGTATGAACATTTACTAAAGGCTAATCAACAATTAAAACCTTATGTTCAATGTATGTGTATATGTATGTATGTATGTGTATGTGTATGTGTATGTGTATGTGTATGTATGTGTATGTGTGTAGGGGTGTGTATGTGTATGTGTGTGTGTGTATATGTGTGTGTGTATGTATGTGTATAGGGGTGTGTATGTGTATAGAGTTGATATTTGTGCCTTTTAAGTAATAGACAGTTAACACACTTGAAGGTGGGTGGGGCTGTTAAGCTTCATTGCAATTAAAAACATTTGCATATTACTGCTAAGAAGGTGCACTATGTAAGATCCACTACATGCTTGTCTCTTTGGAGATGTTATTGCTTTGCCAAAAATGTTCCATAGTATGGCATTTAAATGACCCTGGCATAACCGGCTTGTCATGGAGATAGATATGTTTAATGCTATACCTTGGAACATTCTATATAGGCAAAACAATAACATCTCCATGGTTGGTGATGGGCCTTTCATCAGAAAAGTTACATAGTGCACCTTTAACTTTAACTAGTCATGCACTTATCTTGCACTGTCACTATGTCGGATATACTTTTTCTTTTTGCACTATTTTCTTTGCACTGTACTCTGTTTCTCAGTTGCCTCCAGATATTACACTTATGTTGCAATGTTGTGGGGGACAGACTGCTGAGATTCCGGCTTTTATTAGTTTGTTAGAGCAATATAAAAATGTCAACACCAGTTTACTACCACCCCCTATGGTTGTGTTTGATCTGGGCACAATCACTATAGCAACCAATCCCTAACAACAAAAGCTGCTGGGACTTCTGTCCTGGTTAAGTCCCTTTATGTTCTCTCAGGCTTTCTCTGTGAGGGATTTTTCTATTGGCTGTATCTTCCCAACAGGTGGTCCAAAGTCTACCACATGTCTGGCTTGTCATCGTGCAATAATGTGAAATAAAGTACTATAAAGGAGGAGTGGGTTTGGGATTACACTGGTTGTTTTACATGAATCTTAAAAGTGAAAGAAAATTAATCTGACAAAACTGTAGGTGTCCTATAAGAAGATTTAGTTTTTCTCAATTTATTACTGCCAGTATTTTTTGCCAAAGTTGGATGGCATTTTTCATATAGTCATATAACTGAAGTTTAGAAGATTCTACACCAAACACAACATTATTATCTGCTATATAATAAATAAATAACAATTTTGTGATTATGACCATCTAGTGACCATCTTAGTGACCATCTTTTTTGCATGAATCTTTTGAGCAGTTTTTGAACTACACAGACTTGTGTAGTGGATTTGAGAAATATTTGTTCTGAAATAACACTTCATTCCAAGAACCACTTGATCTAAACCAGGTCTATAACAAGACTATTCCTGGTCTAAACTTGGGCTAAACCAGATTTGATTTTAAGGACTAAACCAAATGTTAAGTTCTTCTCCTGCTAACCCAAAGCAGAAGAAGAATGTGGATGAAATTCAGGCTTAATAGAGTAAAGACTAAAACTGCAGTGTGACCAATCATGCAGGGGGTGTTCTACATTTATCTCTATGATAGAATGTTCATTGGTTTCCATGGTGATAAATTGCACATTAACTACCAATAAAGTTTCAAGATTTAAGAAAAAAATACAAAATGGATTTAAGCAACATTTTCAGGAGCCTGTGAGTGTTTGTGGTACTGTTTAGGTGTTTGATTTTCAACAAAAAGATGAATTTGTGATTGTAATGCTATTTGAGAGGGACTTTTTAACAGCATACATCAGCTCACCTGTTGTGGTTCCAGCTAAGCTCTTACTGATCAGATTGTGTTAAAACAAAACTCAGATGAAGGTCTAGCAGGCATCAGACAGAACAGTGCCTACAATTAGCATCACATCCTCAGGGAATGTTGCAGACCCACCAAAAGGGCTGCAGTATCTGAGATGATATGGACATATGTAACCTGAAAACTTTCTTTCACAAATGTTCCCCATTTTTAATCACCTTTTCCCATTGCATGCTAGTTTAAAATATGCCTTCAGTTTTCAAAGGTCCATAATTACAGCAGCTTGGTTTTAACAGTCACTTGATTGTTACATAAATCCTGGTTTGGGCTCAGGTGAAACACTGATAAGCATCTCTGAAATTGCTGATGTTTTCTCACCGTCTCTGCCTCCTTATCTGCCTCTGAAAGACGATCCACCACGATGTCGCTTCAAATTGCAAAGCTAATTAACAGCTCTCTTCTTGGGACTCTTACACAAAACAGTTCAGAGATAAAACTTAATATTCTACAACGACAACTGTAACCTTTTTAACTGCATACTCAGTCATCATAACACACAGTTAGAGAACAACTTTTTCCTGTGAAACAATGCCGTATAAAACTTTCAAATGTAACTTATATCTCAAATCAAACACAAGCCAGCCTCACTGTACAGGTCTAGAGGATCAAAAGAAGCTACAGAATCTAATATTCCCAAAAGAAAACTTCTTCTGATCTGATAATGTCTGGGATCAAAAAGAGGCAAATCCTGTCTGTGATAATACATCCAGGAAAATGCTGTGAATGAAAAATATGAGATTGAAATAGTCTCTAAACCAAACCCCAGTTCTTTACTCTACAATTATAACATTAGATCTACTAGTAGCTTAATGCAAGATTTGTAGGATGTACATATATTTTCAAATAATAGCTCATAAATCCAGTAGCCTCTCATGTGCCTCCCTCTAATATACATGAAAGGTCCTATATGACATGAAATTTACTCTTGTCAGCTTTAGGCAATGTTATAATGTTGTTACCTCATCAAAAACATACAGTGTCAAGAGTTGTGTTTGTATAATTCACATATGTTTGAGTAATCCTGCAATATTAGTCTGTCTACATCTTAAAAGTTCAAAATGTTCTGTTCCACTTTGTGATGTCATGAAGCTGTAGTTTCCAAGTTACCAGCTACCTTTTACCTTTTATTCAGCAGACATTGGCAATTCTAGGGCTGAAACTGAGAGAAGAATGTTTGTGAGGAGGAAAGAAAAATAGTGTAATATGAGCCCTTTAAAAGGAAGAAGGTCTGGGACAACCAAGCTTTTTGCCCACCCATGTCCACTCCCCTGATTATATCTATTTATTTATTTATTTTTTTTTTACTGATCCCCATCTGTTAACTAAAACTTCTAAAACTAAATCCCCATCTGTTAACTTCACCTTGTGTTTTCATTGTCCTTAAGAGCATTTAGCTTTGTGTTAAAACCATGGATGTCAGCAAATACTTTCTCCCCTTCTCCCCACAATCACCAGCACAACAGAAGTGCATCTCTATCTCAAGAGCAGGACCAGTCCAGCAGCAGAACCCTCTTGCTCTTCCTTCCCCTCGTCACGGCAACGGCACAATCTCATCCCCTTCACTTCCCTCCAATGGCCACTTGCCCCCTCAGCTGGTCCACAACAGCAGCACATAATACTCTGGCTTCTTCTACTCCATCCACTCAGCATTAGATACACATGCACATCTTTATCACTACGCACAAGCACAATAGTTCATTTTCTTGTTCCTCACAAACTCAGTTGCTTTAAGTTGCCTTACATTGTTGTGCATTCTTCATTCACTCCATGCTTGGTGGTAAACTAATTATAGCCACAGCTGCCCTGGAGTAGAGAAGGAAGGAAGCCCCCCAAACTCACAAACTACATTCAACCATTAGCAATATGAGTGAAGTGTCTTGCAAAGGACACAAATATGCATTAGAGGTACTGCCGCCCCACTACGGCACCTGGTATTCCAGTGCTCTC